GATCTTGCCGGGACTCCGTGGGCAAAGTGGCTAAGCCCGCACACTTTAAAGCCTCAAACCTACAGCGCCCAAACTTCTAAACCATTCTGAGGGTTTAGGGTTCTGGTTTAGGATTTGGGGGTTTGGGGGTTTAGGGTTTAGGGTTTAGGGGTTTTTTTTTGAGGGTTTAGTGCTGTAGACCGAAACACGGGCCCTTTCAGGGCTCTCACAATGGCTCTATAAGGGTCCTGTATTGGCTTCAGGGTGTCTGGGCTAATATAGGGGCCTCCAGAAATAGCACAGGGTCTTGGGGCAAAGGATAGTATAGAGTCCGACCCCCGTAGTAGGCAGTAATTGAATTGAAGGACGACATTCTTTACGTCGGCTCATGTAGAACTCCGACTGTAGGAACGGTTCTGCAGCCCAACAGAATAGGGTTCATAATAATACCTATAGTCCGTGGGTCTACCTACCCTGTTTCTCATTCTCGGATCCTAACCATTAAACTCGTGAGCCAAAAAAGGAACTACGCGGGGATTTCTTGATCAGGTCCAGGAATATGACTGTGGCAAAGAGACGTTTCAGGAGGTGATTGTGGAGTTTCAATTTTGGAAATTTTAAATCCTGATCTCCAATCCTGCATTCCTTCATGTCAAACCTTGCTTGAACAGGAAAGTCACTGAAGCCTAAAACCGGTACGGCCACTGCCGCAACCTAAACCCCGCAACAAACCTGCTGAACATACATCCAAAAGCCTTAAAACCTCGCCCACCAAAGCGGAAACGTAACCATCCTAAACCCTACTAAACCCTACTAAACCCTACTAAACCCTACTAAACCCCAAATCCCAGGCCCCAAAGCCTAAACCCTAAACCGCAAACCCTCAAACTGAGCGCAACTTCGTCAACCTTTTTCCCCAGCCGCCTCCTCCTCCGTGAAGTCCATCGGCTTCTCCCCGGCTTGGTCGGCTTTGTTTGGGTCCTCAGGCGCTTCGCGAAGAGGAGGGGTCGGAAGATGAGCCACCGGTTTAGTTAAAGGAAACTACAGATGGGGAGTTTAGGGTATATAGGGCTTCTGAAAGGCTCCTGTAAGGTATATGGACCTTCTATAAGGCTCCTATAACGGTAACTACCCACCTGAAAATGTCCTAGACTTTAAGGTTCTATTCTATGCAATGCCTGTGGAAGTTGTTCAAAAAGCAGCCGCAACAAGAGGTTCGCGCTGAGAGGGAACCTCCTTCCAGGAAGAGACCCTTAGAACAGGCCCTGAACCCTAAACCCTAAACCCTAAACCCTAAACCCTGAACCCTGAACCCTAAACCCTAAACCCTGAACCCTACAGCCGATTCTATGCCTCCCTAAAGTTCCCCAAACCCTGAACCCTCATCCCAAAACCCCCAAGCTCCCTTTGGTTTCAGAAGCGCCTTCGGGCTCGAGGCAGGTTCCTTTTTGGTCCAATGGCGGGGTTTTAGGATCTTAATGGGCTTCCGGCGTAAGGCTGAGGGTGTAGGGCTTGGTGTTTAGGGTTTAGGGTTTAGGGTTTAGGGTTTAGGGTTTAGGGTTTAGGGTTTAGGGTTTGGGTCTTTGGGCTAAGGGTTTAGGGCTCTCTAGCCTAAACCCGTGCAACCCCGATGCCACCCAACAGCCCACCCAACAGCTAATATCCTCAGATGCTTAGCCATGCACTCCTTCAGTGCTGGAACCCGACAGGGGAGGACAAGGACACCTGAACCCTAAACCCTAAACCCTAAAAGTCAAAGACAGCACGGCCCAAGCCCGTGGATTCCTGCTCCCAAATCCGGTAGCCCCGAAGCCCTCAGACCCAAAAAAAAAACCCAACACATTCCGAAAGCCCCGAACAGTCGAAACTGCAGACACCCAAAACCCTAAAGCCCCCCGGAACCTTGAAGGAGCCCTTAACAGGACCCTGAAAATGCACTGGGCTCCCGGGCTCCCTTTCCTTTGATGAGGATCTTGGCACACTCCACGCGCCGGTCGAGAGGCCCCTTTTCGCGGGAGTTATGGCGTGGGTTTTGAAGGATCAAGGTCTCTAGCAAGTTGGGCCAAACTTGAGATAAACACACCTAGAATTACTCAAAACCCGAATCGAGGTACTTATAAGCATACATACTAAGTCCCGTGATCCTTCACGTATCGGATCCAACAGAACTTGCCTGAGGTTGTATGAGGGTCTCATAAGGACTTCACAAGTGCAGCACAAGCGTTTTGTAGGGCTTTATTGGGGTTTTCTATGGGTGTTAGAATGGCTTCGTCAGAGCTATATGACAGCGGTATGAGGGCTTAAACAGGTTGCTATGGCTGATGATATAAATCTTGCATTATCCATAATCAGGAAGATACCCATACTTCCCATAGTTTCGGGTCCTTAAGGTAATTCTAAACTCTAAACCCTAAACCCTAAACCCCAATGCAGGATTTAGATCATCAACAGTATGGCCTGTGTTTCTGGGGTTCGGAGCGTGGGATCTTGCGGCTTAGGGCGTTTAGCCTTTAGGCGTTCAGGGTCAAAGGGCGTAAAGGGTTTAGGGCGTAGGGCTTTGGGTTTAGGGTTTAGGGTTTAGGGTTCAGGGCTTTGGGTTTAGGGTTTGAGGGTGTCAAGCATTAACCCTTAGGGGTTTGGGACGGGAGGGTTTGGAGTACGGGGTCTGGCTCAAAGGAGTTCGGTGTCGTTGAGGGCACTATAGGAGAAACCTGATGCTGTTGCTCACTTCAGTGGCCGTCGGCTTTAGTTTCTAGCTCCGCAGTTGTATGAGTTCCGTGGCTAAGTCGGAGCTCACGCATTTACAGTCTCGACTCATGGTGCTTGGGCCTTGGGGCCCTGGGCTTCGAGGTTTCAACTGTTTGATACAGTTGATGATATAAATCCTGCATTACCCATATAAGGAATATACCATAATTTCCATAGTTTAGGGACCTTAAGGTAATGCAGGATTTATATCATCAACCGTAGCTTTGAAAACCCAGGCAGTCTGTGGAGATGTTCGGATTGAACTCGGACGGTCCACAGGTCTCAAGGTATTCTAGGGTACGGGGCTTAGGGTTTAGGGTTTTTGGGTTTTTGGCTTGAGGTTTTGGGTTTAGCGTCTTAGGGTTTTGGGTTTCGTGTTTAAGGTCTAGGGGTCCAGGATTTAGTTTAGGGGTAATCTTTGCAAACAAGGATCCCCCTAAACCCTAAACCCCCGAAGCTTCCCGGGAAACTCCAAGTCGTGGTGATAAAACAAAACCCACATCCCAAGACACCACCCAAATCCCTAAAGCCTTGGGGTTTGGGGTTTAGGGTTTAGGTAACCTCAGACATGGCAAAACACTACCCCAAAACATGCTGTAATCAAGTCGAAACTCCAAGCGCAGAACAAAGAAATCTTATCACCCTAAAGCCCCTAAAACCCTAACCAAACCCTGAACCCCCACAGCCCCAGAGCCCCTGCCGCGCACCCGCCCCAGCGCCACGGCATGGAGTGGGGTGGACCCACGCAGCCTATGAGCTCGGACGCTTAGGGCGTTGGTTCCCAGAGAACCCGATACCCCTTAATTAAAGAATGCACCTTAAATTATAAGGGCCTTAATATTATGAGTTAAGGTATATTCCTTATTTAAGAGCTCGCACTCAATTTTTGCACCGGTCCGATGTCGCACAGCTCTTTCGGAGCATCTTTACATTCCGAACAGTCTCCGCTGCAAGGGCGCCGGGCGAGGAGGGTGGGCAAGCTTGAGCACCGCACACGTATCGTACATCGCTCTTATGCTTCAAGAGCTCGCACTCAATTTTTGCACCGGTCCGATGTCGCACAGCTCTTTCGGAGCATCTTTACATTCCGAACAGTCTCCGCTGACACCCAGACCACATAGCATAGAAAAGACACCCGTGCAATCAAGCATGAAGGACGCCTTGCTGAAGGAGAAAGAGCCAAGCCTTGGGCAAAATGCTGAGGGCTTGGCACCAGGCAACGTAGTCGAGGGCCTCATCGAACACGTTCGCCCAGCTGAAAATATGCTGACGCAGCTCTGGCTCCAGCCGCGGCAAAAACATCATGGCCGCCACCTCTTGGATGTAAATCTCCATAACCCGCAACGTCACCCAGCGTCCTCGCCTGCGTACCAGGTCCGGGCTCTCGGACGAGCCCATCAACCATGTTGCGCCGCCTGCTCGGAGGCTGGCAAGGTCAAAGTCCCTGACGTTGGCCACCGCATTGGTCGGGATGCCTAGGGCAGCCAGGAGTTTCTGGAAGCGGGCGCGTAAAGTGGCGCCCGACCTCGGCCAAAGCTTCTCGTCGGCCTTCAAGTGATAGAAGGCCGTCCTGATCAGCTTTACCAGCTGGGGCTGATCGACCTTAACACACTGATGTCGTGCAGCTTTGAACCGAGTCTTCGGCTCCATGACCGCCATCAGAATCATGGAGCCATCCGCGCCGCACTCTGCGCCCACGTCGTCGGGGAGGACAAGGTCCCTCCTCTTGGCAGCCATGGCTTCCCCAACTCGTGCCAGCCCCCCCCAGCATATGGCCAAGATGCCTGCTACGTCAAACCAGCCCCAGAGCAGCGAGATTGACAACAGGCCTAGCAGGACTTGCCAGGGCAAAGCCGTGTGATGCGTGGGGGGTTCCTGTCTCTGCCACGCGAAACAGATATCCCAAGCTGGCTGTAGTTGTCGTCGGACCTGAGGGCAAGCAACCGAGAAAAGGTTGATGGTTTCGGACAGGTGGTAGTATGGCCGACCCTCTGTGTAGAGCCACTGTCCGTACCAGATAAAAATCTCATTCAGTTGCTCGACGTCATGTCTGGCCAGAGCCAGGAGGCCAGCCCAGGTCCGACCGCGTTGAAGAAGCCACTCCTCAAAGAGGTCCCGAAGCTTCTCTCGTCGGCTTCAAGTCGAGGCCAGCATTGGCCGCCCCTTTTCCAGGTAAGTCCCAGCTCGTGCCTCCTTCCTCTGTGTCTCGGTCTTCCGAGCTCTGGCAGCTTCCATGGCGGCGACGGGTCTTCCTACCTGGACAAGCCAAAAGAAACCCTGAAACCTCAAACCAGCCGAGCCAGCAGACGAGGAGGGAAGGCACAGAAATCCAAAAGCGAGGAAAGAAGTCCACAGGCAGCTTGGCGGCCCCTCGCCGGCGAAACCCAGGGTGGAGTCGAAAGTAAGGGGCCTGGTGAAGGCCCGGAAAGGCAGGGTGGAGTGCCTGCCACAGTCAGGCTGGAGCAGAACATCGGCAGCTGAGGGTGTCAGGGCGAAGACCAGCCGGGCCCAGTTCGCCGCCCACCTGCGCAAGCGTGGCCTGCTAGCGTCAAGCAGGAGCCTATCCTCGTTCCAGAAGTCGGGCCCAAGCGAAAGCACAGGCGGCTCAAAAGGGCGATCCCGGGTAGGGTTATCAGCCGGGATGAGACGTGTCGGGCAGTACATACCCCCGTGGTAGAGGCCTGCTGCCAAGGCAACTGCAGAAGCACGGCGGGTGGCATGCCGAAGTCCAGGCGAAGCAGAGCGGCCCTTTGAGACGGCGGCTCTTGCAACATGGGAGTCGCACAAGTTAACAAACCGAAGAGGGCCCTGTTTTAACGCGAGGTCGGTGAACAGGCGAGCCAGAGCAGAGGCCTCGAGGATGAGAATGTGCACCTGGCCTTTCCATCGCCAAACCTGGTCGGTCCTCCAGTCAAGGGAGAGGGCAAGGTCGGAGGGGGCGAGGCGCTCGAGGCCTCCTATGTCAAGGTCGGTTTCTCGCAGAGAGGCGGCTCTAGCACGCAGGGCTTTGTGGAACACACCTCCGACACAAGCAGGGAGACCTGACTTTGGCAGAAAAGTAGGCTTGGAGGCGGCTCCCCTCACGGGTCTGTGGGGGCCCAGGCAGGAGCATTCTTTTGCGAGGGGAGCAAGGTCACAACCTGCAGAGATAAAGCGAAGCCTCTTGAGGTAGGGGGCCCCAAAGGCACAGAGAGAGGCCGAGCATTCTTCTATGCCGCGAATTTTCCGGGCTCCCTCCCACAACACCTGAGCCCGGCCACGAAGGAAAAAGGGAGCCTCTGCCACAAAAGCAACATCAGCTGCCCGAGCTTTCAACAGCACTGCGAGGCTGTGGCGGAGCGAGGTCAGGCTCGCCTCAAAAGGGATGGCAATGTAGATGGCTCGCACGCGGTCCTCGTCAATGAGATAGAAGACCCAATCCAAGAGGCGAGGGAGGCTAAGGCAAAAGTGCGGGGAGACGGTGCTAGCAATCAGAGGGCCAACGACCCAGCCCCTGTCTCTGACCTCACTCAGTACCTGCCCGGCCCACGAGCCTATGCCAAAGAAATCAAAGAGGAAAGCAAGGGGGCGCTCTGGAGCCACCTGGGTCACCTCAGCCTTCTCCTCAAACATCGGGTCGGCCCGGCGAAGCAGGGCCTGAGCAGGGGAGCAAATACGGGCATAGGCCCCCTTTCTATCCGCCGTGGCCCAAAGGATTCTGCGCAGGTGCTCGGGCAAAGGTGCCGAGACACAGGCCCCTTTCCTCTCGGAGGCATCTGTAGCGTAGAGGCGGTCAGCATAGGGCGCGGCCACGTCCGCAATCGCAACCGGGCCAGAGCAGCGGCAAGCTGAAACTCCTGGGTGATTGCCCGAGGCAGCTTCAGTATCTTAGGTGCCTCCGGGTCCAGTTCCCCCAGGGGCGAGAGGGCAAAGGCCCGAGAGAAAGTGCAGAAGCACGGGCGGCGAAACGTGAACGCTGAGACCCAGCTGCCAATCAAACACGCGTTGAGCGAATCAGTCGTTGCTGGCAGCTGGCAGGCTTCCAGGCTAAGGTCGGCCAGGACCAGTCGTTTCGACCGGGGCGCGCCAATCACTGGCTTGTTGGATTGAAGTCTCTGACGAGAGGGCAGGAGGCCCACGCTTTCAAGGTAAGCTGAGTGGGATGCCGTAGCCACCTCCACTCCGAGATGATCACCCTGGAGCACCGACGAGAAACAAGCTTGTACCTTAGGGACACCCCTAAACCCAGGCGGGGGGTCAGGACCTAAACCACAGGGGCCTAGGGTTTCCGAGGGATTGCCAAGGCGGCGGTAAAGGTCGAGGAGAGCAGGCGACCCAGCAAAGGCCTCAGTAGGGAGTGCCGGCCCGGAGACGGTTAAGCTTCGCTTTCTCCGGGGTGCACCTCAATTGGTGGTAAAAGTCACGTCTGTCTGTTATGCAAAGGCACAGGCCTTCTCGGTCGAATTCATGTTGTGCAAGCCCGGCTCGGTGAACTCTCCCGTCGCCTCGCGGACCTGGGCCCAGTTGGCGATATTTACTCTTGGGTTCCCCCTGCCGATCCGGAGGTGCCGCCGGGTGCTCTACCTGAGGACCAGCAGCCCTACCAACCAGCCCAGGCAGACCGTCTGCAGATCAGTGGCCGTGGCCTCTGGGATCCTTTGCCTTTCCTGCCACCAGACCTGCAAATGGCCTACACCGAGCCGCGGAGCTTGTTGTTCGGAGGTCTTCCTGGCCCCGAGGTTTTCCCGGACTGCTCCCGCGAGGACACGGCTGAAACCCTTAAGCTCGCTCTGTTGTGGTCGTCTCAAGGCCTGCTTCACCTTGAGCCGTTTGACGCTGACCTGCACCCCTCCTGCTACACTCGGATCTTTGCAGCGAAGAAATCCTCTGGCAAGCTGCGACAAATAGGGGACCGTCGCGGGCCCAACTTTGCTGAGGCCAGACTCCCTGGACCGTCAAGATGGCTCCCGACGGGGGCCGGCTCTGGAAGGTATTACGCCCTCCTGCTCGCTACCGTATGTCCTGACAAGGCCCCCGAGGTAGGACAGGCAACGGGCCTGGGGCTCGTTGGGAGGTCTCTGCAAAAGCTCGAGGGGAACGAAATGGCAGTCCTGGTGGAGAAAGTTCAGGGCCATCACCAGGATATGCAAAAGGCGCCCTCTGCAACCACGGCCCGCCGCCTTGACGAAAGAGAAGGGCAGGACTGAAAGATGGCCGGGCGCGGAAGGGGGAGCGGGAACAGGACATGGGCCGGGGCACACACGCCGCGCCGGCAAAGGTGCAAAGTCTGAGAAAGAAAAGCAGAGAAGGGCGTGCGAGCCTTAATAAATTTCAAATGCGCACGAAAGGCCCAGCTCCGAAAGGACAAAGGGGCATCGACCCGAGGATCGGGGATGCTAGGACGGCCTACCTCAAAACGGGCACGGCTGCCTTCATGCACGGCACTGCTGCTAGAGCTGCGGGGCCTGGCAAAAGAGGAATTCGTTGAAGGGGTCCCGGTTCCAGGGCTGATAGGTTCATAGGGCGGAGGTGCCAGGGGGCGAGCCGAAATCAAGGAGGCTTCGGTCGCCGAGCAAACCTTTGCTTCTTGGGCTTTGCCTCGTCGCCTCCTGCCTCCTCTGTCTCGCCTGTCGCCCGGCTGGGCTGCACTGCGTCTTTGCGCCTTTGCGAAAGGAGGTCCACCTCCTCACGTAAGCCAGCGTCACAGAAGCGAGAGAACGCCCGGAGGCGAGTGTTGGCTGCCTGACCCCTCGGGGCAAACATGGAAGGGGCTGGCTCCTCCAAAAAGAGTCAGCAGGAAGCCCAGGTCCCACCTGCCGTTGTCTGTGCAGGACTGCTCCGTGGCTGCAAGGGCTAGCCCGAGGTGCTCCATTGCGGCGTGAGTGTCGCCTCTCAGGAAGCAGTCGCCGATGGTGGCCAGCGTCAACATTATCAGCCCGCTTCCCCGCTGCTGGGCATAGCGCCCTTGCCTCTCCAGGTAGGAGACCAGGGACAGCCGGCCCTGCGCACGCATATCCTCCATGGAGGTGGGCACCGGCAAGGCGGGGTGAAGGCGTCGGTGGGCCTCCTGGCAGACCTGCAAGAAAAACGTCGAGGAGCCAGCGGCTAGGTCTTGCTGCAGGCGCTCCCTCTTGGCAGAGCCCTTTCCGCTCACTGAAGTCTCGAGGAGCTCCCCAAGTCTAAGGACTCGCCTTGGGCCACCAGATGGGACACAAGAAGCGACAGGGCCTCCCCCTGCTGGGTCAACGCCTTGGCGTCTCCTGAGGCAGAGTCGGCGGCGGTTGCTAGCGGGGACGGCTTCGCGGCAGAAGGGGCCGGCAGAGGAGGGGGAGCCAGAGCAGGGGCGAGCTTGGAAGGGGCCGGGAGGCTCTTTGCCAAGATGCCTAAAGAACCTGCTGCCTGGGCACCTGCTTGCGGGAAAGGCTGCTGATGCACGGGCACGGGAGCTTTTGCAGGAAGAAGTGCTGGGGCGGCCTTTTCCAGCTGGGGCACCGGGGCAGCCTTCTCCAGCTGGTTCTGCCTTTCCACCAGGCTCTTCATTTGCTCCACCAGGCCCGGCAAAACACCAGTCAGGGCCGTGACCTGCTCGGAAAGCTGGCTCACCGTCACGCGCTTCTTTGGCATGGCTTGCCTCTTGGGGGCCTGCACGACCGGGGCCGCCGAGTCTTCCGGCAGCTCTTCGGCCGCCGTGTAAAACCCTAGCTTCTCGGAGGCTGCCCCTTCTACCCAATCGGTGGCTGCACGCTGCAGGGCCTCCGGCTCTGGCACAAGCTGGGAGGAGCCGGGCACGAAGGAAACCACATCTAGATCCGTCACGGGGTCGTAGGGCACCATCCTCTCTGAGAGGCCGTCGTCGGCATCCAAAAGAAGCACCGAACACTCTAGGCCCACTGGCAGCTCGTTGCCCTGCTCGTCTTCTTCGACGGCGGGGACCGACACAATCGTCGACAACCCCAGCATGTCCAGAGGCTGCTCCGAGGCAGCGTCCTCTGCAAGAGACGGGCCCAGGTAGGCCGGGAGGGCAACCATAAAGCCTCCAAGCCTGCGCTTCAGGGGAAGGGCTAAGACCCGGGGCTCCTCCACATCCTCCACCAGGAGAGGCCAAGTCAGGGCACAAGGTTGCCCCACACCCTCGGGGTCGAACTTCATCTCTTCTGGCGTCATCCTTGGAAGGGGGCCGGAAACTCAACCTTCGGCAGCGTAGCAGTACACCTTCGCCTCGGCAAGGGAGCCAAAGGAGTGCAGCGCGGAATCGCTATGGGCAATTTCCCCGATAGCGGCACGCAGGGAGGAGAAAGTAGAGAACCTGGCAGGCCCTTGCAAGCGAGAGCTGTAGAGCACCACGTACACCACAGGACGCACAGAAGGCAAAGCCTGAGAGGAAAGTGGCGTGGCCCACCTCCCCGCGAGGACCTCTCGGGCCCAGCAGCCGGCCCTCCAGGCTCGGCGCGCACGTGTTTCTGCAGAAACCCCTTGGCTAGTAAGCCGCAGACACAAGTCAAGGCAGAACTGAGGGCAATCAGGAAAGCCAGCCTCGGTAGCGGCTCTGGTGGCAGGAGCGACAGGCGGGGGCAGAGGGGAGGACTTAGGGTAACCCCTAACAGGAGAGCTAGCCCTAGCCCTAGAACCCAAAGGAGCAGGCTCACCTGCTGGCTGGGAGACGACCTCCCACTCGGAGGCAGGCTCGGAGCTGGCAGGCTGCCCCGGGGCACGCTGAGTGGCGATCCGCAGGCGCTCCAAAGCAAGTTGTACCTCAGTGATTGCCGTGGATAAGTCAGCCTCGTCACTGGCCATGCACAAGGTAACCCCGAAGTCGAAGATGCCGTGGCCGTTGCAGCTCAGAGGCAGCAGGGGCCGAGGTTGCAGGAGCGTGCTGCCCAGAAGTCGAAGGGCGATGAGGGGAAGAAGTCCAGGAGGAGGCTTGGAACAGGTGAGGGAAAATCCAAAGGGCAGCGGCGAAAGAAAGGCAGCAACCTACGCTAATGCCAGAGAGGAAACTGAGTCCGAGGAGGACCCAGGATCCTTGGCAATGCGCAGGGCACGCTAAGCCGAACCACCCTGAAGCCCAACCCCACTGAACCAATCACCTGGGGCACAGCCTCAAGAAACCCCATCAAGCTTGAGCACGGCACACATATCGTACATCGCTCTTATGCTTCAAGGGGCATTGGGTTGTCTGGGTTTAGGGCCAAGGGTGTAGGGTGTTCGGATTTAGGGTCCAGGGTTTAGGGCTTAGGGTTCACAAAGGAGCGGGGATTCTGGTTTACGGTTTTTTGGGCTTGGGTTTAAAGGGCTATATTGTTGTTCCTAAACTCGTGGTGCTTGATCTAGGGCCCCTTATGATAAGGTGATAAGGATCCGAATAGGTTTATGGTATGTGTGAGTGCATATGTATGTATGTATAATTATATATATATA